AATGGACTGCAGAACCTGATCGTAAACTTCGATCGAATTTGATAAAGAATGACTACGACGTTACAAATTTCACTCGTTTGCAATTTGTTGTAGGAAACGTGCATTTGATTTGTACAGTGTTTTTTTTACACTGTAACTTTTAAGTTTATTGAATGTCACGATATTGAACCACTATGATATTCAATTAGTTTTGTGAAATTACTCCACTAGTTTGTTATTTTTATTAATATAAAGATTGAACATTTAGAAAAAAAAACCTTCGATTTGCTGAATTCGAACCAACGTCTTCCATAAAACCGTGCCAAACCCAATGCCAACTAAGCCACGGAACAGAATTTTTCTATGTGCTTACTGCCAATCTTTGTTTTTGGTTTTTAACGACTTTTCGCCGTAACGCCATCTGTGAGAAAGCTATTTCTTTACTCAGCCAGGTACCTTTACAACTACCAGCAGCTGACTAGAGATATCGCTTTAATAATTGTAATTTTTAAGTACCACCATTATATTCAATTATTTTTGTGAAATTACTCCACTAGTTTGTTATAGTTATTAATATAAAGATCGAACACTTAGAAAAAATGCCTTCGATTTGGCTGAATTCGAACCAACGTTTTCCAGCAAACCGTACCTGACCCTACGCCAACTAAGCCACGCAACGAACTAGCGGACCTTATGAATGTTTCTATGTGCTTGTTGCTGATTATTTTGGTTTTTAACGACTTTTCGCCATAGCGCCATCTGTAAGAAATCACTCAGCCAGGTACCTTTACAGCTACCAGCAGCTGATTACAATACTGAAATGTATTGTAAAGCACCTACATAATTTACTTTCATATGACTGAAATGTGGAAGTCGTTCGATCGGCCTAGACGACGTTGTGCAAAATTTGCACGCACGAGTTGAAGATTTGTACAAAACCCAATGCTTATTTGTACGTACCCAAGTAAATACTACGAATTATCAAACTATACACGAGAAGGTACTACAAAGAAAAAAGAAAGAAGAAAGAAAACTGTTTATTACACAAGGACGGACACGCATATAAACAAAACAACAAAGGAACAATAGTAAATTATTACTATTGTTCCTTTGTTGTTTTGTTTATATGCGTATAATAACAATAAAAATTCAAAATTAATCTTTTAGGCCCTGGGAGAGGCAAGAGTCTAAAATAAATAATGATGATAATAATAATTTAAAAAAATTATGCAGTACCTAATTCACCGTCACTAGTACGAGTAAACAACATTTTTTCACCAAAATTGTAAGATACGTAACTTCGTGATGAAGGTCACCTGTCGAATTAAGAAATCGCTTTAAGCCGGTCGGAAAAAAACGACATGTTCATGTAATATGAGCGGAAAATAGTTGAGCTTATCACTTCCGCTCGTTTTGATCGACTCTCAAAGACTTCTTCTTCCGCTCGGACCGCCGCCGATGCGAAACGCGCAGTGTTTTTTTAAGCCAAGTGACAGTCGTGCGCCTGACGGTAGGCGAAACGCCTAATAATAGCCTAGGTACATAGGAGGTATATATGCAGTGCCCGCTTTACATACGGTGCAGGGTATGTGACGCCTTCAAGAACCTGTGTCGCTCGCGACGCGGAGGTAAACATCATTTATAATTGCACCATTTGCTCCCAAATTTCCGATCATTGAAGGGAATATAAGTGTAAGTCATTGACTTACAATTATATGGACGTCGGGCCCGCGCTAAAAAGTGTCCGAACTTATAGGGCGTTAAAATCGTATACAGAGCGTCATTCACGCTTTAGTCTTCGTTTGTTCGACTGACAGCGAAGCAAGCAAAATTAGACAGTACTGCGATGACATTACAATTTAAATTCAACGTTTTAGCTTTTTCATATTCCTTTACATGTCACTACGTTTAAATAGGTTGACTTGGGACATTTTTTTCGTGATTTTTGTATTAGACCCGTCGTCCATTTATTTGTAAGTCAATGGTGTAAGTATTCTGTTTTGTCCGCGTGCTTACTAGAGGGCGCCATATTGATTGCACTCGCTCCCTGCATTGGCTAGCGCCGACGAACGGACAACAATACTACAATTATATTTTTCAATCGAATATGCGTCATTCTATTACTTTCGTAAGTAGATGACATACGTAAACACTTGAGAACAAGTAAATAAGCGTAATAGAAATGTGCACAAAAACATTGTCAAGAAGCAATAGAAATATTAAATACCTGCTTCGCGTCTGCATTCTTACTCATTACAATACTTCCATTCAAGTATGTACGTATCTAGTTATCAATAGCTTGTAGTATATAAGGTGAGCATTACATATCTACTACATGTTTAAGGCATGAGATAATATTATAATATCAATGCTTAGGCGTACATACACAGTGAAGGTGCTAGCACATGTAGCGCCCGGATGCAATCAATACTCTGGCACCCTCTAATAGGCACGCGATCAAAATGGAATATTTACAGTTATATTTTGCCCAGTTATCGGAAATTCGGTTACAAATGGTACAATAATAAATGGTATTGGGAAGCAATAGCCCCTTTACCCCGGTTCCGCCGCTAGCAGTGCAGGCTCTTCGGAGGCGTCGCGCACGGCACTATAGGCGCCCCCTTAAACTGATTTAAAGAAAATAATCACGTAAACATCTAGTATATTATACTTCCGTCTGCTAACTAACACGGCTATGTGTTGAAAACATTTTTTAAGATAGCATTTAGGATATTGAATTAGTTTAATGATATTTTATTTACGCATCATTAGGGTAAGTTCCGATATGTCGGACTCGTTAACTTTAACTGTTTCTAAGTAGAGATTTTGAGATAAGTATAAGCTAAGTAAGGCCGCATTTTCATTAATAAACGGCAGTATAATGAAAGTATCGCATTCAAATATAGCGCTATAAATTCTATGTATTCCATACGATAGGGTATCTAGAAAAATACATACAAACAGTGTACCTAATATTTAGTATATTGGGCGTTTATTGTGGGGTAATTTCGACCGCACGGTCTTATAAAAAGTAATACTGTATTTGTTAATCGCAAACGCATTTCAGCGTTACGCAGAAAGTCGGATGCTCCATATCCTAAGCGAATATAACATACTTGTATGAAATATATTTATCTTAATTTACATGATAAGTACAAAAATGAAAGATTACTGCACCTTTCAATGAATAAAGACGTTAAACGGGGTCAGGAGAAGTTCACCTTGTCTGGGTTATACCGAAAACTGCCTTGGCTTTCGTGCCAATGTCTCCACGAATCTCATAAATCATTTTATTAATAACGTACATTATGTCTTCACTCATTTGGATAAAAATGCCAGGTGCCTTATAACGATATTTTTAATTGATAATTTAGAAGCATATCCAATTAAAAATAATTTTTAGCAATACTCGTATTTTTTTTATTGTTTTAAGCTACACCCAATTTACGCACATTATGCAAACCTGATTAGAGTGCATGTTTTAGTAGAACTGATATGAATATACATATTTTTATTTTTAAGTCGATAATGAATACCAAGAATTAAATATAGTGAATAAATAAAGAAGATCAAATGAGCAGCTGTTAGGAGACCAAGGAGCTGGCTACCGTCTAACCGTCAGGAGTGGAGGAGGCTACACCAACAAGAGCTTGGCTCTTAAATAGGATGATGATGATGAAGTCGATACTATCGTTTGGCTTTTAGACCTTTTCTTACCAGAACAAACTTATATAATCTTTTACGCCGTTTCTTCCATGAAGTAACGTATATAAACTGTTACGCCTTTTCGTCCCTGTACTACGGTTACGTAATCTTTTATGCCTTTTCTTTCTTGAAGTAACTTATACAAACTTTTACGCCTTTTCGTTCATGAAATAACATATATAAACTATTACGCCTTTTCTTCCCAGAAGTAACTCACATAAACATTGACGCCTTTTTTCCTTCGAGGAACTTACCAATAAGATAAACTTTTACGGCTCTTCATCCCAGAAGTAACTTATATAAACTTTACACCTTTTATTCCTTGAAATATCGTAAAATACTAAGTACAACGTTATGATAGTATAATGATAACCAGTTTGTGTCTCGTTTTATATAGATTTCTTTTTTACGAGCGTTCTTATCTGTTATGCAAGTTTATGTAAGAGCAAGTAGGCTCGCAGGTACTCATTGCATGTACGTCAGAAACCATTCTTATGTAGATTTCAAATTCGTAAAGACGTATGTAAAATTAAGAAACAATAACCAGTAAATAAACATTCTATATTATACTCAAATGTAATTGAAATATAGCTCTTGGCAAAAAGACAAAGCCCGTATATTATAATGTCTGTCCGTAGTTAACATTGTGGCTTACATTACACGGTATGATTTCTTTTCATTTTCCTGAAAATATTTCAGAACCCTTACACGCTCAATAGTCAAAGGTTATCTGGTCAGCGGCAGGTGACACCTTCATCTCGATTACTTGTGGTGTTACCATTGTACCTCACTTTTTTCCGACAAACTACACTCACTGTATCAACACGTGAAACTAAAGAACCATTTTTGTTTCTATTATTATTCTTGTAACCATTGAATTCTACGCACTGAGTTATTTCAATACGTCTTCTTAAAATAATTACAGGTTTCTTACTACGAAGAAACCTGCAATTCACTAAATAGTTACATACAGGTTTCCATTTTGTGTTAAAAATATGTCCGACAGATCCCTCCAAAACTAGCCAATTTTGTTAGATCGCTTGAGTGAAAAACTAGAATAGAAGACCTTATAGATTCTACGCAATAGGGTGTTAGTTTCTTTAAGAACCGAAATCTTTGTGAAGGACATCATTATGGACTACGTCTTTAAAGTCTAAACTGCAACTAATCGGCAATATATAATAGTTTCAGCAAACGAATTACAACCGGTTTTCATGCACATCCTGTCCAATGTTTCAGGATCTCGACTGGTTTCAATTATAAATTCCATCCGAGACCCCTTGACATAATTATACACATAACAGATATCTACTTACGTCTCTGAACTGCACAGTGCCGGCCTCTCCCAGCTCGGAGACGGAAGTGTACGCCGCCTCGGGCTGGATGAAGAGCTGGCACAGGGCCATCTCTTCGCTCCTAAACATCGCCCCCATCTTGGTATGAAGTTAATGCTTCTTTTTGTCTGAAAATAAGAAGAAAAATTTGGTGTTATAATGTGCAAATGGTAAGTCAGTAATTAGATGAGTACAAGTGCTTCCCGTTGAAGCCTAGTGGTCCACTGATGAACAATGGTTTCCGCAGTACCTGCTTAGAGTTCTTAGAGAGAGTTCTGTCTTACATAGAGTTCTGTCCCACTTTCACGTCTAGGAATTACACACATGTAGATTCTTTACAATTCTGGTAAACCTAGTCAAAAGTTCAAGCCAATCAAACAAACAAACGCACACAATCATGGCCCCGCTATAGGGAAACTCTGTATCGCGTGTGCCATGGACACACACATAGACAACCACAAATTATACCCAAACTCACGAGAGAAATAAATGTAGGCCATATGAACATTTCTCTCGGTCCGGGAATCGAACTCAGGCCTTCTGCGTGGCAGTCCAGCATGATAACCGTTCGGCCGCGGAGGCAATTGGATCAAACTTCCATCCATAGGTATTTTTTATAGCATTAAGTTTATAGGTAAGTTTTATTTACATTCTAGTTTTACCGCCTAATTATGATATCTAGACCTTGTTACAAATATAAGTGCATAACCTACTATTAGCAACAAAATTATGCTTTAATAATTTAGATCAGTCTACATTTCAAGCTGAAAACGATTTCTACAATAAGCTGTGACGAAATCTCTTAAAAGACTATGTTCCACAACAAAGAGACATTTGAAAAGGAGGAATTAAAAATTAACCTTATATGTACGGTAAGAACAACTACCTATACGATATATGATATATTTAGTAGCAGTACAGCTCCTTGTGAAAGAGTTCGTCCAGTGTAGTACTGCCATCCCCGTCGTGCCACGAGTACGGCGCTGCGGATGACACCGCGCAGAACACCCTAGAGGTGTGTAGCCGGGAGCAGCGCCGCACTCTGACCGGGACTGCAGGACCTCTCGCTGCCGAGCGTGGTTGCCGCCATGCTCGATAGCGAGGAGTCCTGGGAGGCGGTGGCCTCCTTTTGCGCAGAGGTTATGTCGCAAAAGGAGGCCGCGGAGCGGGTACGCGAGGACGCGGCTGACGCGCACCCGCTTCGGCGCAGACGTACGGGGAGAAGGCGAAGGCAGTTCGCTGCTCGCCTGATCCCCTAGTGAGACCAGCGGGCTCTGGATAGGGACTCCGGAGCCTGCATTGCACGGCCTCACTCGTCTGGGCGGGTCGGAGGACAATCGACTCGCCCCTCCGTTGGCGCGGGAGCCCTGGCGCAAGCTAGGGCGGCCGGGCGGCGTCGTGGTGAATGTTCACTGATCCCACGGCGCCGACTCAACCGGCAAGAGGGAAACCCAGGGGGGTTTTAGTGGGGTACGCCCTCCAATCTGAAGGGAGAGTCCCCACATAACCCCTGAGTCTCGCTGGGCTCAGGGGTATCCATAAAGATTTCCCTCCCCGTCAAAAAAAAAGGGCAGTACTGCCACCTTACGTATTTCTGCCGCCAAGCAGTAATGTCAGTACTGTGCTCAGGTTTTGAAGGGTAAGGGTGCTGGTGAAATTACAGGCACATGGGACTTCCCCTTCAGATCTTTGTGATTTAAAGCTCTGAGTGGTACTGCAATTGTTAGGGACAGGCGTGTCGCTTACTACCAGACACACGGCTTATTCGTCCCGTCACTTGACGTTATAAAAAAAAGCAAATACGATCTCTACAGAGCCTATATCTATCTAGCATATAAGTAAAAAACCGACATCATTCACTTACTTCCCTGGGCAAATTCTTTCCAAGGAGATCTACTGCTCTTAAATTGCGGGAAATTTAATTTGAAATTTAGGTACCATGAGCTTTTTGGTCAAGCAAAACATCGCTAAAGCAATAACCAATTTATAATTAGCAATTTAATTTAATTAGCAGTTTACGAGTGTGTGAAGTTCCTAATCTGCTGGAGCGCGTGGAGACTACAACGTCCAAGTACATCGAATTGTGAGAGGAGGCCACACAACAAACTAAGGGTCGTATTCCAGAACTCTACTCAATGCTCAAGTCAGGATCTGAGTGTGATTTCAAGCACTGGAAATACGACTCTAATGGCAGGGACTTGAGTATGATTTCGAGTGCTTTAAACTATACTCAAATCCTGACTTGTGCATTGACTAGAGTTCTAGAATATGACCCTAACAATTATTATTATTATGCGCTTAATGCTGCCCACCATAGATACACAGTTCAAACAAAAATTAAAGGAGAAACTGTAACTGAAATATTGCTTCGACCAAAAATCCAACTCATGTCATGAAATTTATCATTAAATCATTGGGCCCATTTATAACTAGCCCTAACCATATTGTTATAATCAAAATACAATATCCAACAACCATGTAGTTAGATAATGTAACGATCAAAGGCGTAACGACTTCACGTAGCCATACGGCGGCCGATCCATTCTCAAAGCAAGTCTGATATTGTATTGACCTCGCCATATTCGACATCTGTAATGCAACTCACATTTGCAGTTAGAGAAACTCAAACTTAATGACTTTAACGCGTATCGATCGGCAGTAGGTCGACAATCGTCAACAAGTATAAATTTGCGGCAATATTGCACAGCAGTAAGTAGAAATATCAACGTTCCAACATGCATGATTAAATTATCACTTTCGTTTGGCGGCCATATAAATGGGGACAACTTTTATATGAAGTTAGCGGAGACGAGGTTACAGTGTTGTCGATAGTGAAACTTGTATGATCTTATGACGTCTGGTGACTCGTTGTGCTGACGACGATGTTTTTAATAGCAGTGGAGCTCCTTGTGAAAGAGTTCAAAATCAAAATAATCTTTATTTCATAGGTAAGCATTACTACTTACACTTGAAATCGTCACATTGGTTAAACTCTATCGCTCATTCATAAGGTAGATTCCCTTGAGAAGAATGAGCAATAAACTCTAGGGGCTACTCTTTGTAAATAACATTTGTACACATTTACAATGTATATTTTTTTTGTTTTCAAACATCTGCGATCGAGACTACTCCATGAACGCGTTTTTAAGTCTGAAAAAATCGTTAATTTCCAGTGTGTATAAAACCTTTATTTTGTTTATTAATAAGCATTTTAAGCACACTTTCCACAATAGTAATCATAAAAGTAATCGTATTTATTGTATATAATAATTTGTGATTTTTATTTCATTTTTGTTCACATTTTTTTGTCAATCTATGGATTTCTCGAGTTCTTAGGTTTTCGCGACTGTTACACATAGGAAATGAAACTATTTTTCCAGATTTAAATCGCGTACATTTGTTTTTTCAAACAATCCAAAATCTAAGGATTTGTCTGAACTTATTCCAGATATGATGTATGGGTATTTATTTTTAAAGGTTTACAAATAACTGGCAGAACTTACTGCACGGTTATTGTGTGTCGATATCATATAAAAGACTAATACTACTGTGTGTTATCAGCAGTGTAGCCATCTCAGCCAAAAAAAGTGTTTGCATGCGGAGATTATATCTAGCTAGAGAAACGAATTGAGATTCGTTTCTTTGTTGACCCTTTTTTTGTGAAAACGTTTTGCTTGTAATAAAAATAATATCTATCCATTGACTTACAATTATAATCTATCCCTTAAAAGCGATTGGTTCACAAGAACAATCAAGCTGCAGGTGGCCACAACTGTCCACCGTTGCCTGCACGCAAAAAACCCTTATAGTTTTGTTTTATGATACCATGTGACGAAACGCATAAGTCGTGTCGCTTAACACATGCCTGTCCGTAGCAGCTGCAGAGCCACCCAGAGACCTGAGGGCCACTACCGCTGCAGCCATCACCATGTAACCTAAGTTGACAAGTATCATGTGCTGGTAATTTCCTCAGCACCCATAGCGCATATGCGCACTGACCTCGATTCGTTTTCTTTTCGATTCCGAATCCCAGACCATACAAATCTAGAAAAGTCAGATCCACTTATGATGTCACTCGTGCACTTAGTCCACTCAATCCGTGAAAATACTATTATCGCTTGTGCACCTAGAGATAAAATGGTCCCTGTGACATTTCGGACCATCATTTCTCGGTTTCGGAACTGGGGGGCTACTCTCGATCTCCGTCCGACATCCGTCCGAAACAATTACTGTCAAATAAGTAATATTCGAAAAAATTAAAAGATGTATGTAGCTTCATTCGCATCACGCGTAGTAGACCCCCTGTTACGAATAGGACGAAGTGCGCAAACGTTCTTGCGCTTTAAAGCCGGAAAACTGTAATGCTCATTACTGCTTGGCGGCAGAAATAGGTAAGATGTTAATACTTTCCTGGACGAGCTCTTTCATAAGGAGCTCTACCGCTACCAAATAATATCTATATAGCTGCCCATAGTACATTAGCTAGATATCCTGCGGTACCTCCAGCCGCTTAGGTTATTGGGAACTGGAGAGACGTCGTTTATTCGGCGTCGGGAATTGAGCGTGCCTTACAGCTCCGCCACCAATGAGGAGATTTGGTAGTGGACTCAGAGTCGTCGGCTTACCGCTAGTGGTGCAATGAGCAACGAGGAGTGAGCTCCGGTACCTATCTGGAGTATAGGGAGAGTACTGTACGGCTCACCCGAGTCACTAAACTCTCGAAGAACGGGATGAAGTCAAGTGACAGAGGTCTGTGACAGCCCTGTGCACTGGCTGATCTGGGGTCAGAACCTGAACTTATAAGGTTCCTGGACGCGCACAGGTTATAGTGCGATTCTCGTATACTCTAAGGGTCAACAAGGAGAGTCACTATAATCAAAACTAATGTAGAAAGATATGGGGCTGCCCAGGCTCTGCCTCTCTGCCAGGCTGCCTAGGCTCCCTTGTACTATAAAAGGGAGCCTAGTTTTGGAGCTAGACACAACTTCATCCCGCTTCATCATCAACCCATTTATATGTCCCACGGCTGGCCACGGGTCTCCTTTCAAACGAGGGTTTAGACCATAGTCCGTTTTCCGAGGGTTGTGAACCTTCTTCAACGTGCAGGTTTCATCGCGATGTTTTCCTT